AATAATAATAATAATAATAATAATAATAATAATAATAATAATAATAATAATAATAATAATAATAATAATAATAATAGAAAAACCTTTGGTAAAAATTTCATTGAATTTTTTTCACCTAATACATCAACAAACTTCTGTAACAATTTACTTAATAATCGATAATCATAGTCATCATCAGAAGATTGTGTTGAATTGGGTAGAGAAAACAGGAAATACGCCACAGGAATACTACGATGATCTTCATCAAGTACCAATAATGCGAACAAAAGTATTCTATTATCACAAATAGTGAACGTTCCATCGAATATCAACAGATTCTGATGACCATAAGTCCACGCAAGTTCCCTTTGCTCTAATGTTGAAAGTCCAATTTCAAGTCTACTATGTTCTTGAGTTCTGGGTTGATAATGAAAACATGAGTTTCGTATCAATGAATCGCTATCTCCCTTTAAAAAAAATAAGTCCAATAAACTAGAATCTACTGGTTGTCGCATATTAATGTTTAACTTTATTTTTTGTATCTCACCCATGATATTAGATATATCCGAAGGACTAATTAGCAACCTATAATTATCTAAAATAACTAATCCATTACAATTATTTTGAACAAATTGTTGATTGTCCTTCAACACCCATTTTATAGGTACATATGATTTTAATAGATCTGACGTAATCTCTTTAACCATAGGATGAAGTTGTAAAATCGATGAACCAGAAACGTGCGACTCATCTTGTGATACGGCCGATAACGGCGCTTCTTGTGACGGAATCTTTGATGGTGTATCTATAATCATTTGAGATTCGGCTACCTGTGAAGTAGTAGTTTTATTTGATTGAACGCATCCATTCACATGTTCAAAATATCCCGTAACTTTTTCGTAATGGTTTGTTGATTTATTGATTGTAATCTCTGCAAAAGCTAAACACCCCAAAAACTCAAAATTTTGTTCGCTTATATCTGTGTTTTTAGCATTAGAAGTTTCGGTAAAAATACCACAACTACATTGACATAAAATTTTCTGTATATCAGTATGATCGTCATATTTATATCTTATGTCCCATTTCGAATTTGTTAAATTCGCGTTAGAGGCTACTAAATCCAAAAGCATATGAGACTGTAGAAATTGGGTTGCCTCCTCTTGTTGCTCTGGTGTCCATGATATAATAGTTATATTATCGTTTGTTAAAAGCTCATCCAAAGTCGATTTTTGGACATCGTTCAACAACAAATTCGGATCTATAGATATATTTTGTTCATTCATTTCTCCTATAATTAAATTTACAAAGGTTATTATTAATTTATAATATTTAACTTATAACATGTCTTAATTTATTCATTACCTTTTTTTAAGGCTATTTATATCTAAAGCTGAATCGGCACGTCGAATACGCAAAATTATATTTAATCGGATAATATAAGAACGTTTAAGTTCGAAGGTAGTGCTTGCATGTGTACTTATGCTTTTTATGCATGAAACACAGACGTTGTAACATCTTATAAATTATACTGTTGAACAAATCATGCCCAGAACTACCAAAATCAGCCAATCAGATTTCAAGATCAGGTGTAACATGAAAATTGAAGCAAATAAACTAAGTTTAAGGCACCGTATATATCAAATTGATGAGAAATGTTTTTTTGTTAAAACACAAAAAGCAGTTTCATAGGTAAGATTTGAGCTACAAATGATTTTTCAAAAAAGTATATAATTTTAAATTAAAAGTAAGAAACCCGGCATAATTAGAAAAGTTATCTTAGAAAATCATGAGAAATTGACAACTTGTACTAATTAACTGATTTATACTAATTGAAGTTAAAAATAGTTAAGGTTAAAAATTAAAGACCCTAGTATTAGAAAAACTAAAAAAATAAAATAAAGTATACATAATGAATTTTTTTATAAGAATCATTATATCAAAATAGCTAAAGAGGTTTTTTAAAATAGTAACAGCTAAGTAAAAGTAAATTTGACTATAAGTTTAGCAAAAATGTAGTAACAAATAGAATTAAAAAAAATATATATTAAACTTTTTTCAAAAAAATCAAAAACTAAAAAAAATAACAAACTTAACAGATAATAAACAATAATAAAAAAAATAAAATAATAAATATAAAAGTTTAATTCAAAAATAATAATAATAAAAATGGTTATTTAACAAAAAATAAATTAGAAGTGAATCTTATTTAATAATATAAAATTTAGTAATAAATATTAGTATAGAAAAATAAAATACATATATAAAAAAATTAAAAAAGTTTAAGTAAAATGAATTAAAAGTTTTAAATATAAAATATTAGTAGTATAGTTTCTTAAATTCAAATTAAATCAAATATTGGATCAATTTAAATTTAATTAACTTAAATATATATATTGATTTACATTTAATTTAATTAAATATTTAATTTAAAGATTTGAATTTAATTTGATTTAAAATATTTAAAATATTAATTAATAAAGATAAATCTTAATTTACAAAAAAATTTACTATGTTAATCAATCATAAGTTTTTAAGTAAAAGTGTTCTTCTAAACAAAATACACTAATTTTATAGAATAAAAAAGTCAATTGTCTTAATAATATTACAAGTACTATAAATAATTTATAATTTTAAACATTTAATTATAAAATTTTATCAATAATAAACAACTCTTTCTCGTAGATCATCAAAACAAACAAAATTAACAAAAACTTGGAAATAGTACTATAAGTTCCTTATAATA